CACACACACACACACACACACACACACTCACACACTCTCTCTCTCTCTTTCTCTCTCTCTCTCTCTCTCTCTCTCTCTCTCTCTCTCTCTCTCTCTCACACACACACACACACACACACACACACACAAAGGCAATCCTGTGTGTCCCTGTATACTCTGTGAACCACACTTTTGGGAGCTGTAGAACAAGTGTTATGGAGTTTATGCTGAACATGGCCAGCAGAATTCCTTTAGCCTGTGGGAAAGGAACTGAATCAACACTAGATAGTAGTCACCCAGATGACAAACTGGGCAAAGCCAGAGTCTGGGAGGAGACATAGACTCAGGTTCCAAGCAGTAGAGGCCGGGCGCTGGGAAGGACTGACTACCCAGGGGCAGGGCTGACAGGTGCAGCCACACTTGTGAAGATGGGATGGGCGTCTGTGGTGCAACCTCCCAAATAATTATTCGGTGTAGGATTACTCTTCAGGGACTACCTAACTCTTGATTAAGGGAAGCAGCATCTGTGATAGGACCCTCATGGGTATGGAAGACATCTGGGGGCCTTGCAAGGGTCACGGGAAGAGAGCACATTCTCTCTCTCGGCTCACTTTCTGCAATGAGATTAAATGACACTAGCCAAATGGAAACAAAAAAGACTATCATTTATTTAGGAAGTCCTAAAATTTTAATAAATTCTCATAAAATGGGAATGAGAACCAAGGAGTTCAAATGTTGCTTGTTTCAGACTGTTTGCCTCTTGAGGGGTTGTCTTTTGTCCAAGAGTATACCTGAACTCAGCTCAGGCACTTCTTACAGTAGGCCCCTACAGGCCCAACCCAAGAGCAACTTATCAATCTTTAAGACATCAGCACCTCAGATTTCATATTCACTAGAGACAGACAGCTATTGGCTTTCTTTATTCTAGCTCTTTCACTCAGAAAGTATAGTTACTTCAGACATAAAATATGAGCTCACTGAAAATAAAGCATATATATGTATATATATATACATATATATATGTACACACATATATATACATATATTCATACAGTGTTGCATATATGGAAGTGCTTACTTTCCTCCTTGCTTCTTGGGAATTTATTACAATGTATTATATATCTTATTAAATATTATAATTTATAATAGTAGAACCAATGGTTGTACTTTATCAAATACTTTATCAACAAATAAAAAGCAATGTGAACAATAGACTACAAATAGTTCAAATCACGCTGTGGTGCATGGCCCGGGAATGGAACCCGGTCCTCCCATGCCCGGTTGATGGGAGCCACAGTGTACTAGGAGCAGTAAGGCAGGGAGGCCAAAGTGAGGGGACTCCCATGTGCTCGCAGCCCCTTAAGAGCCAATAACGCATCATCCTGACCTCACCTTGACCATGCCTTGACAGGCGTGGTCAGGCACACCTGTAGCCAGCCTCTAAAAGGCATGGCTTATGTCCCCTACACACATCTCCTTCTGATCATCTTATTTTTAGCTAACATTTCTTGCAAGTTACTTGATACAATATCTTGTGAAATTTCACTAACCTAATGTAATAAAATAGATGACATAGGAGACAAATTCTAATTGTTTAAGAAGATAAATTATATGATGTCTAAGATTTACTCTGTCTAAACTCTTAAAGTCTATGTAATGTTTGATCAATAAAGGATGCATACCACATATAATGACATACAAATAAAACAATAAACTGTAAAAATTATCTGAACCAGTTGTAGTGGCATGGGTCTTTAATCCTAGCACACAGCAGACAAATGCAGGTGGATCTCTGTGATTTCAAGTTAAACCTAATGAGTTCCAGTACAAACAAAACAACACAGTGAGAACCCATCTTAAAAAATTATCTTAAAGTAGAAATGTCACTAAAATATCTCAAAATCAACACTAGTTGGATGATTTTATCTATTCATAGATGATAAGTACTATGTGTGGGTTTTGTTTTGTTTAGATTTATGAAATGCAATTGTTTTCATCTGATTGTCAAGGATACCAGAGACCTAAAGGAAAAGGGGTATGGCTTGATTTATATGAATACATTAATCAACTATTTAACTTAAAGTACATTCAGAAATAAAACATGACTTACTAGGGTTGTTCATATAAACATTGGTAGTGAACACACACTACAGACCAAGAGCTGCACCTCACTCCTCACCACGTGGGCACTAGACACAGGCTGACGGCTATGGTGTCTTTGTATAACCAAACCTCTATCCATGCCACATGAGGGGATGGCATGTAATAATAAGTCATGAGGATTCTGTATCCAACAAGATTGATAATGTTTTATCCAGTCTGAGAGCACATCTGATCCTCATTAATTTTGAAGAGAACCATAACTTTTTGTTTCCTGAGGAAACAAAGGCATAACGTTTCCCCCAACACAACATGTTTTCTGACTTCCATTTTGAAGTTAAGACATCCTTAAAATATATAGGTTGGTTTAATCTAGCAGTTTCCATAAGCCAATGTCTCTCAGCAGCTATTGCTTTTTATACATTAGCATTTAAAAAATCCTGTCAACAAAGAACCATACAAGGTCCAGACATTCTGTGTATTTTCCATCTTTATGTGGCTTATTCTTTTTATATTATTTTACTCTTTCTTTAAAGTCTTTATTATTTTTAAACCTTTCATATTTTTAATGATGTCTATAACTACTTTCTTTTCTTTATTCAGCTCCTAAATACATTTTAAACAAACACTACCCTTTTAGAGTTTTTTTGTCTCTGGACCTGGCTTTAATAAGCACCGCAGTGTTCTCTGATCACATGACACAAATCTTAAACTGCCATGTCAGCCATCACACAACTCAGTTTAGTACGTGGTGCTGATGGCTGGCTCCAGCCTACAGGCAGCAGCCAGTAACCATGCCCCTGTATGCCACTGAGCATCAACCAGCTCGAGAGACTGCCGGACAAATGACACAGGGGCTTATTAATTATGAAAGCCTGGCCTTAGCATTGGCTTGTTTTTAAGCAGCTCTTGTAACTTAAATCAACCCATTTCCACTGTGTCATTTTCCATCTCTCTCATGGGCCTAGATTCTACCTCCTACTTCCTCTCTCTGCCTGGAAGTCCCACCAATATCTCCTGCCTAGATATTAGCAGTTTAGTTTTTATATTACACCAATGACAGCAACACACCTTCACACAGTGTACAAATACCCCACAAGAAACCCTCACTACTTACATTCAAACTTTCTCTCAAGAAGCTGAAGGATGGAAAGAGAACCAGCAAGGGGAAGAAAACAAATTCAATAATGGAGAATGTTGGAACCAAGGCCTGGAACCAGTGATTAGCCATGCCAGCCTAATCGGGTCAGAGGACTCCCTCCGACAAAATAAGGTATTTCAGTTGGAAGCTCATTAGAATTTAGAGTGCTTAATTTCCTCCTTAGCTGGAAGTGGCTAGAAAGGTGGAAATAACACAGATCCCAGCAGAGAAGAATGTTCCTTCACTCTCATTCTTAAAACTGATGAAATTAAAATAATTTTGGAAAATTTTTATAATTTATAGTATAAGATAAAAGTTAACATAGGGTGCTTAAAGACTGATACAACTTCAATGACAAAGGTTAGATGAATTCAGAAATGCTGGCCCAATCTTGCTTCAAGCCAAAAGAGAGAAAAGAAAGATTGCTTTGGAAAACATAAGAATTATTTCTTAGTGATTATTGCTTCTTGCCTATCTAAACCGTGTCCTTTGAGCCTTAATTGTGAATAAATGGCTTTCAGAGTTAGATTTGGCAGCTATTAATTAATTCACCTATCTGTTACTTAGCTTTCAAATGACTATGATGGAATGAATAAGCAACAGTAAGAGTAGAATTCAGGCTAAGCATTTGCAGGTAACGGCAAAGAGAAAATTGCTTACCATATGGTACTTCCAGTGGGTGCCCTGTCACATCGCACCACCCAATGGGGTGAATGTCAGGGCTGTCAGCATCCATCCAGTAATCGTATTTGTGGTCCCAGCCATCAAAATGAATCTGTTAAAAGGTGTTCAAGGATTCATTATTGTTGCTATTACTATTTCACTTTCCCTTCACCAAAATATGGGAAAACAATTATCTGAAGCTGAAATTGAAATGGTATTAATCACACCTTCAGCAGAAACAATATTTTAAATGCTCTATCACACAGCTTTGCAAATGTTGCTGAGAAAGGCAACAGATAAATTAAGGAGGGAGGAAAATGAAAATTTTTATCAGATATTGACTAAAACTGGGAGGAGCAAGGCTTATTTGTTTTCTCAGCTAATCCAACACTAGAATGATGAGAAAGAGATGCTGCTTACTCTTATTGACTGTCCTGTAGCCACCATGTCACAGTCATAGCAAGGACGGTCAATAAATTGGAATCATTGCAAGCCCATTACTGATGAAAAGGGAATGAATCAAAGCACAAAGAAGCAGTATGCTCCCAAGTCCTCACAGATGAGCAGAGACTCAACACACAATGGAGGCAAGCAGAGAAGAAAAGTATTACTGGAGTTGGGGAAACAGCTCAGTAGAAGATTGCTCAACTAGTAAGCACAGACCCTGAGTTTAATTCCCAGAACACACACACACACACACACACACACACACACAGACATTACTGGATACATAGATTATTAAAGGACAGTATGAGCAGGGCTCTTGTGATAGGGCCGGAGTCAGGTCTAGAAACCCACTTGGTATACAGGGTCATTTATTATAATTTTGTATTTTATTTATTAAGTGCATAGACATATATATATATATATATATATATATATATGTATATATATATATATATGCCTCCACACTTCCCAATTATGCATATAAGGAATTAAAAAATCCATTTATGAAATGCAAATTAAATGCTTAGTTGTTAAATACAAAAAACTGTCTTAAAGCATGCTGTCTGGATGACAAAGTGAATTTTTTATGAAGTAAAACAACAAATAGTTCTACCATTCTCTTATACATTTTCTTGTTTTCACTGCCAATTAAATAGAGAATATACCATCTTTAATGCAAAGTTGTTATTCATGCCATATGTCTGGTTGTACATGCTTACCATCCCAGCTATTCCATTCTGGCAACAAACAACTATAAAAAATGATTTAAAAATCTATTTAGAATAGCATTTCTTTTAAAATGAAAAGCATTGGTATGTTTCTGAGACAAGGTCTTGGCACACATAGGTTGACCTTGAACTCTCTATATGTCCCAGGCTGGCCTCAAACACCACATTCACATTATAGCTTTCCAAGTGCTAGGATTACAGGCATGCGTAACCACACAGAGACGCACAAAAATCGAGTCTGAAAGCAAAGGGAAGCATTCTAGATGAACCCTTAACGTCCGCCTGGAGAAATGCTCTTGCTTGTCATCCAAGTCAGAGTAGAACTAAGCATATCAGCCATCCTTCGAAGAGGGCACACAGGCAGGGGTTCAGAGATGAAAAAGAATGAGAAGTTGAAGGACATAAGAGGGAGAAGAAAGGGCCACAGAAATAAAAGTTTTCAGGGGAATACTGACAAGAACTTGGTCAAGGATGAGACTACATACGCCGAGTTTGGGATGTTAAGAAGCCATGCACACTCCATGAGAAACAAAAGCATGAGCGGTCACGTGTTACTGTGAGTGAAGAGAACAGCAGTGAGATTCTTTAGTTATACCTTCAGAATTTTGGCTGAGCCACTAAAGCCACTGCCTTTGGAGAAAGACGGTAATTAAGGGCCACTCTAGACCAACCCCATGGATATAGTAATCCAAGAACCAACAGGTGAAAGAATCACAAATAGTTACCCGTCTGATGCCCCCTACCTGTTAAAGAATAATCCCTATCACTTAGGAAATCCAGTATACAGTGCTGCCACTAGACACACATGTAAGCAGATGAACAGGAAAGACGGCCGACGTCTAAAGACGCCAGAAAGAAACATACTGAGATAATCCACATGTTGCAATTAACAGACAAGAACTGCAGTGTCTATTAAAGTATTTTCAATAAACAAAATAGTCTTGATGGATGAACAGACGAAGAGTCTCTACATAGTAAGTGTAAAGATGAAGCAGGAGAAAGTTCTAGAACTGGAATGAGAAGTCTGTGGGGTGAAAATCCCGCAAGTGGTTCGGCACGTGAGAAGAGGCAGGAGAGAGGGTAAGTGGCCATGAACTAAGAAGAAAACAGAGAGTTCGAGGCTTACATAATGAACAGTGCCCTGGGGATTTGCCAGGTAACATCAAGTCTAGGCTGCAGAAGACACGACTGAGAGGAAGAGCAGGAGGAAAGTCACAACAAAACAAACCCAGGAGAATGGAAGTTGAAAAACCCCCTCACAATCTCAGCTCAAAACACTGCTCTACAAATTTAAGAAGAATGGGAGAACTCAGGCTCAATAAACAGAAAGGAAATGGAAGTTACGAAAACCACGATAGGACAGGACAGTTGGCTGACTGTGAGCCACGAGGCAAGGGAAGTGTCTGCCAAGTCAGAATTTTAAATTCTATAAGAACATCCTTCAAAAGAGGAAAAAAAAGAAACAGTAATTAAAAAAAAAACCAGAAAAGTAGTCAACTATAGATTTGTGGTACAAGACACAAACGTTAAGTGAGACATTTTAGGCTGGAGGGAAATGGTGATGAATGGAAACTCCCTTCAGAGGAATAATGGAGAGCAAAGACACGGGACAGACAAGGTCAACTCCTCACTGTCGTCATGGTCAGGTCACTACACAACAGGATATGGAAGGGTAACGTGGTCACCAACATAAAAGGAATGCATTTTATCAAGTTCTGTGTACTCTGACAGATACTCCTGTGTGCATGGGCTCCCTCCTGACAAGGGGAGGACATCTGTAAGATTGTAGCTGGAGGTTCTGTTCTGCCTGGTCCCGCTGCCGATTAGCCCCAAGTAAACACACAAACACATTAATTTATAAACTGCTTGGCCGATGGCTTACCTTTCTTACTGGCTAGCTCTGTCTTAATTATTAACCCATATCTATTACTCTAAGTATTCCCACATGGCCTTTCTTACCAGAGAATGCCCAGACCTATTACTCCTTCCTCAGCTTCATGGTGTCTCACTGGTGGCTCCCCTCTGTCTCCTCTACCCAGCATTCTCTTCATCTGGTAGCCCCACCTATACCTCCTGCCTGACTCCTGGCCAACCTGTGTTTTATTCATCAACCAATAAGAGAAACATATATACATAAGGACAGCCCCCATCAGACACTTACAGCCAGCACCATACTAAATATAGTTTCATGAGTGCTTATCAGAAAGAAAAAGTTCAGTATGAAGGCAAAGTAAGAGATGAATTATTCACACATGATTTTTTGTCTGTAGAAAGTATAAGGTTGATAAAATTACAGTAAGAATTTAGCAACAGTTGAGAATTAAAGAGTAACATAGAATAATTGTGTTCCTACATGCTGATAAACAAAAACATCTGTGATAAATAATTTTTAAAAATCTATTTAGAATAGCATTTCTTTTAAAATGAAAAGCATGGGTCTGGCAGTATAGAGCTATAATTCTACATCTAGTCAGCTGAGGCAAGAGAATTTAGGGTTTCAGGCCCAGCCTAAGATAAACCGAAAGATCCTGTATGTCACCCCACCTCCCCTGCTGCCACCCAAAGGAGATGTTAGCAAAGCAGGCAAGGAAACTACAAATAGTGCAAGGTCCCATGCTCTAAAACCATTGCTATGGCAAATTCAACATGACCCACATCAATGGAGGAGCATAATTACACCTAAAAGACCACAAAACCCAGTAGCTTTGTCAATGCCATTATTTCCAGAACACTCAATGAAGTCAATAAATCACACTGGAAACAGGAAGAGAGCACGTGGGAAGCCGAGGTAGCAGGTGGAAACTTTGAGTTTCCTTGTCTCTACAGCAAGTTCCAGGCTAGTCTCACCTGTGTAGGGACAACTTTGTCACAAAACGACTATCAACGGCAAAAGACATAAGGCTTGCTTTCGGTGTCACTGTGACATTACACAGAAAGGAAAATGATGCAGCATGTTCTGAACAATTTTTGCAGAGACTGGCAAAGTTGAAGGATTTGCACTTGGCTTCTAGTTACAGTGCAGGCATGGTTATTAAGGCAGCATTTGTTGTACTGACTGGAGAAACAAACACATTAACAGAACAGCACAACACATGTCACACACACACACACACACACACACACACACACACACACACATATTCAATTCATTTTTAAATAGTACGTCAAAGAGTGAGTTATTGATGGAGAAAGAACAGCTTTCCAGCAATGCCCCTGGAGCCAATATGTAAACAGACATACTTGACAAAATGAGTGGGCTAAATCTATCATACAGTCCACAAAGATGCTAAACTGACCTTGCAGTTCACACATGAATGAGCCTGAAGTGTTCATAGGCGGAAAAGCTAAAATGTAAAACCCATGGTAAAATTTTAAGAATCGGATAAAAAACCTTTGTGATATTGAGATATTTAGGGTTTTGCATGCACATGCAGTAAACATACAAGAATAAATTAATAAATTCAATTTTATACTTATTCAGACACTCCAGTTTCTCAAAATAACAAGAAAAAGAAAAGGTATTCTCAGACAATTGCAACATATCCATCATACTAAAGATGACAGAAAAACCCATCAAATTATGGGCAAAAAGCTCAGCAGATACTTTGAAAACTGAAGGATCAACAAACCAGATTCAACACCATCCTGCTCAGGGCAACCAAGCCGCAGGCTCCTGCACACCACTCAAATGACTTAAACCCAACTGATACCAGGCATTGGTGAGGTTGGTGATTGGCAATGTGCCAAAAGAGGGAGACGTAGACAAAATACACCAGATAGGCCAAGCAGGCTTAGGAACTTTGCCGTGAGGAGTCAGACCTCTGTGGCTCAGCTTTTGTACAACTGGGTCTGAAAAGAAAAAGTAACACAGTTTTCAGAGTACCTTTGACAGCAGGTATAATGCTTTTATGTACTCCACTCATCATTTTCCTATGTT